AATAGTAGGGCAATTTTTGGGTGACGTTTCGACCTTCTGCTGGGAAGGTTAAAAAAAAAAAAAAAAAAAAAAAAAAAAAAAAAAAGAAAGAGCACCGCAGATTCAAGCACAACCCACCAAGAGGAGGCACAACACATCAGAATCTGCACCAAGGCAAACCACGACATCATTTGCCTGGAACTGCAACATTGCTGGTCCCCCTTCCGAAACAACCAAAGGAGGGCATCCGTTAAAATTGGAGCGATACAGAGAAGATTATGATGGCCCCTGCACATGGATGACACACATGAATCGAGAAACGGTCCCAAAAAAAAAGGAAAAAAGAAACGAAGATACCCCTTGGATTACATCAGGCCCACACCAGACTTGGGTTACATTATGCTCACACCAGAGGAGATGACAGGCAGATGTAGAGCAGATTTCAAAGAATCAGTGCCCCTCTTCTTGCAGATACTGACTTACTACGACCACCTACTTGACATTGCTTATCATATCAGTGAAGTGTGAAACACCTACGACCACCTACTTTACGCCACTTACCCGTGACCAATCAAAGCGTGGACCGTTCGAAACAAGAAAGGTGTGTCATAGACAGATAACACACTCCAGACACGCCGCTGACACTCGAGGCACAACATGGCCGCACAGTGACGGCATCAACCCAGCAGCTACAGGACAAATGCAGCTTGAGAACAGAACCAAGGGAGATATCAGGCAGAGTCTTGCAGATACGACCTAGCTACCACCTACTTTACCCAACTTATCTGTGACTGGCCAAAGAGCAACAACTCTCTTTGGCAACAACTCTGTGAGAGGGAGAGAGAGAGAGAGAGAGAGAGAGAGAGAGAGAGAGAGAGCAGGTTGTGCAGGCACATACCCAGCAGCTACAGTATGAGAGCAGGTTGTGCAGGCACATACCCAGCAGCTACAGTATGAATGAAACTTGAGGACGAATCGACCCCCAAAGAGCGCAAGGGTGGGTAGGAAGGTACAACATGCACTGATTTCCAAGCAACACTTGACCCTTTCGACTTGCAAATACCCCTCTACTGGCAACACTGCCAAACGGGGAAAAGAAAACAGGACAGAGAATGTACAGGTGGCCGCAAAGCAGGCTGGGACGTCTAACAGAGCAACGCACGTCAAGCAAACGCGTTGCGCACATCTCCCTGAGCATCATGAAGTGTGAACCAGTGAAAGCAATAGCAGGCTCTTGCAGGCACTCTCGTACGAGTCTCCTCTGCATCCCTATTACCCCCTTCTGCATACCTACTGACTGACCTCTTAACGGAGGACCAAAAAATTGCTGTTTTTGCGGTGCCACCACAAGCAACATAGCAGAAAACTTTGGAAACAAACGACATGGGCCCGTAGTACAAACATCAAAAAAACAAAGAGGCAAAAAAAAGGGGAACAAAAACACTCTCAAAAACACTATAGAACCGTAACACAAAGACACTTTCCGAGTTGAAATGAGCGTTCGACAATTTCAACGAAATGCTTACTTTTTCTCTGTTAGTCCAGATATGTCAAAACTGAACACGCGATGTACCCTAGAGCAGCTACATATCACACAAAAAGAAAAACAAGAAGAAAAAAAAACAAAGAATCTGGTTAATACAACCGTTTCCGTGCAAAATTCGGCGAAAATAACCCCCCTGGTTAACCATGTGCAGCCAACTACCCTCCTCTCCCACCTTGCAGGCCCTTCCATACGAAACCCTCTTTCGCATCCCTACTACCCTCTCCCACATTTCTACTACCCCGTTCTGACCCTCTTCCACATCACTATTGGCCTCTTCTTCACACATACTACCCAATTCCACACTCCTACTATCGTCGTCCACATTTTCCACAACACCCCCCTCCGCATGCACTCTCAATATGACCCCTCTTATGCACACCCCGGACCGTCTTCCACATTTCTTCTAGCCTCAACTTCATACCTACTACCCTCTTCCACATTCCTACTATACCACAAAAAAGTACAGCCGCTCGCCCTAGCCAGCAACCGCCGAGCTGTTTGGGATCCTCCTACTCTTCTACAGACTTACTTCCCTCTTCCACATGTCTACCACCCTCTCCTGCACAAGAAACACACATGGCATTGGCATTACGGCTGCGCAAGCACAAGAAAAAGCTTCTCAGTCAGGCACACCTACCGTCTTGCCCCCCTGAACATGCCACACCATAATCATGAATGTATACAAGCTATATTTCCAGCTTGATACTGTCATTTTGTGGGTGGACGGGTCGCAGGAAGATGGTTACACCAAACCTTCGCACATGGTACTATTCGATGAGGTATTAAATTATCACGGTGATAAATTTTCAAAACATTTACCACTTTTGAAAGAGGGGAAGAGCACATGGTGCAAAGGTTACAAAATTTGCCCTGATCATGAATGTATACACGCTATATATCCACACCGATTCGGTCACATTATGAAGTCGCAGATACATACCAGCTGTGGTGTAAAACTTCGCTGTGGGCCCATTGGGCGTCTTTGAAATCCATGTGTACAAATCCTTCTTCTTCCGGCACTGCAATATATATTTAAAAAAAAAAAAAAACAAGAAAAGAAAACAGCCCTCGTCAGCCGCCTGTACAAGTCCTTCCTCTTCTTCCACTAACAATAAACACATAAACAAAAACAGAGAAGACAGTACTAGCCCACCACTCACCCACAATGGGGTATAAATCTGACATGGCTGCCCACAAGCAAACGAAAGACACTGACCCTTGAACTGCACCCTTTATTCTGACAACCGGCTGGCATTCTGCACTGGAATTGCACAAAGGAGTCCTCTGTATACTCAGAAAATCGTGTCAATTCTCCATGTTCACAAGTTGCAGACCAAAACCCGTAGATAGCTAACCTACACCCTGATTCCACTTCAGCTAAACACGGCCACATGCCAACATCTCATACCACAGCAAGGGGGGACTGTACAAAAAAGAAAATTGAAGGTAATGAAGTACCCTTCAAAGCACTTAGGGAAAGAAAAAAAAATAAAAAGACTCCAGATATACATGGGTACATATGGACACACCACTCACCCGCCGCTCGCGCATAATCGTGTATAAATCCGACAAGGCTGCCCACGTGCAAACAAAAGCAAAATATTGACCATTGAAGTGAAGTTTTACTGAACCATTTGTTTCCAGGACAGGCGTTCTGCACTGCGACTGCACAAAATGTCCTCCATACTCCGAAGCGTGTAAATTCTGCAGCGTTCTGAGTTCACAAGTTGCAGACCAGAACCCGTACAGATTACTCCACATCTTCATGGAGAATTCATCTACAGCTTCGTTCCATGTCAGCTCTCATATCGCAAAAGCTATTGCAAAGATGCACAGAAACACTGCCCCGTGCCTAAATCCCATACCATACCATAACAGAGGACTAACCATTTAGAACACTGGAGAAGGAAGGTCAGCAAAGGAGGAAACAGAGAAGCAGGGATTAAATGGTTCGAAGACACATGCGGGAAGGATGGGAGAATGACTAGGATAGTGGCAGGGAGGGTAGTATTCAGTGATTGGTTTGGTAAGGGGTAGTGGGGGATAAGGTAGGAGAACACAGACCTGAGCACTCGGTCAATTGAAAATGGAATAGTCGCAGGAGACAGGCAGAGGGAATGATACCAGAGGGAGTGCTGGAGAATAGTCCATCGAAGCTTAGATGGCAATACCTTGGATTTGCAATTTTCTTTTCCGGTTTGTTAGGTTTTGAAGGCCTTGGAGGCTTTTTTTACTTATCTGGCTCAGAGGAGTATATCAGGACAGAGGTCTCTGGGACCGGAGCTGTTCATAGTTTTAAATACTCACCTGAAGCTTAAGCGAAGCTGGCTGATGCTGCCAGTATGGTTCATCCGGGCTGAATTGTGAGGTCCCCGGACTCATTGAAACAGTTTTAATAAAGTGTTTGGTTTAAAATAAAAAAAAAAAAAAAAAAAAAAAAAAAAAAAAAACATGTGTACATATAGACACATACACGTCCAGGTACATATATCGTCAAATAGAACTGCCCGGTAAACCGTAGGCAGAGAGGGAGAAGAGGACAACATATATTATACAGAAGACATACACATAAACCCTAAACCCTAAGTCCTGCAATGCACATTGTGTGTGCTGAAACACAAGGACTTAATAGGACTTAATAATCATTACCAAAATACGACCGCAAATCCGTAATATTCACCTCCAATGGTTTCTGTGAAAGTAAGCCTTGCAACTCCAGACCGTGCAGAATGTGGCCCTTTTCCAGACCCATAGTTGCTGCAGAAAATACCCCTCAAATCAAACAAAGTACCTCCGAATCGAGCACACTTACAACATCAGACCAGAGCTGCCCAGTAAACCGTAGCCAGAGAGGGAGAAGATATATATATATATTTGCAGGATATCGTCCTCAATTTTTTGTTCGAACTGCAGATGTGACTGGTGTAATTGAAGCTTTTGAATATGACAATGGTGATAAAACAAGAATGGTTATGCCAGGAGATCGAGTAAAAATGATTGTAAATTTAATTTGTCCTATAGCTATCGAGAAGAAAATGAGATTTGCTATTCGCGAAGGTGGACGTACTATAGGTGCTGGAGTTGTTTTACAAATATTAGATTCGACTCAATTGAAATCCAAAAATAAATAGAATAAAACCTTTTTCAGAGGCGAAAATAAGTGGGTCAATAAAATCTATGAGTTAATGGATGCAGTTGACTCTTATATTCCTACCCCTTAAAGAGACATTGAAAAACCTTTTCTAATGCCAATTGAAGACGTATATATATCGTCACAAACAGAACTGCCCGGTAAAACCGTAGGCAGAGAGAGAGAAGAGGACAACAAACGAGGGGCTGTGACAAACTGTTTCGTCGGAGTTTCACCGATATCGTCAAATAGAACTGCCCGGTAAACCGTAGGCAGAGAGGGAGAAGAGGACAACAAACGAGGGGCTGTGACAAACTGTTTCGTCGGAGTTTCACCGACTCATCAGGAGGCTGAACCCTCAACAGTCTG